GGTTGTCATGGATGCAGGTATAGATAATTGTCTATGACCTGTCTCCACATCCCGTGGTAGTTGTCATGGATGCAGGTATAGATAATTGTCTACAACCAGTCTCCACATCCCGTGGTGGTTGTCATGGATGCAGGTATAGATAATTGTCTATGACCTGTGTCCACATCCCGTGGTGGTTGTCATGGATGCAGGTATAGATAATTGTCTACAACCTGTCTCCACATCCCGTGGTGGTTGTCATGGATGCAGGTATAGATAATTGTCTACAACCAGTCTCCACATCCCGTGGTGGTTGTCATGGATGCAGGTATAGATAAATGTCTACAACCAGTCTCCACATCCCGTGGTGGTTGTCATGGATGCAGGTGTAGGTAATTGTCTACGACCAGTCTCCACATCCCGTGGTGGTTGTCATGGATGCAGGTATAGATAATTGTCTACAACCAGTCTCCACATCCCGTGGTGGTTGTCATGGATGCAGGTATAGATAATTGTCTACAACCAGTCTCCACATCCCCTGGTAGTTGTCATGGATGCAGGTATAGATGATTGTCTACAACCAGTCTCCACATCCCGTGGTGGTTGTCATGGATGCAGGTATAGATAATTGTCTACAACCAGTCTCCACATCCCGTGGTGGTTGTCATGGATGCAGGTATAGATAATTGTCTATGACCTGTCTCCACATCCCGTGGTGGTTGTCATGGATGCAGGTATAGATAATTGTCTATGACCTGTCTCCACATCCCGTGGTGGTTGTCATGGATGCAGGTATAGATAATTGTCTACAACCAGTCTCCACATCCCGTGGTGGTTGTCATGGATGCAGGTATAGATAATTGTCTATGATCTGTCTCCACATCCCATGGTGGTTGTCATGGATGCAGGTATAGATAATTGTCTATGACCTGTGTCCACATCCCATGGTGGTTGTCATGGATGCAGGTGTAGGTAATTGTCTACGACCTGTCTCCACATCCCGTGGTGGTTGTCATGGATGCAGGTATAGATAATTGTCTTCGACCTGTCTCCACATCCCGTGGTGGTTGTCATGGATGCAGGTTGTCATGGATGCAGGTATAGATAATTGTCTACGACCTGTCTCCACATCCCGTGGTGGTTGTCATGGATGCAGGTGTAGGTAATTGTCTACGACCTGTCTCCACATCCCGTGGTGGTTGTCATGGATGCAGGTGTAGATAATTGTCTACGACCTGTCTCCACATCCCGTGATGGTTGTCATGGATGCAGGTATAGATAATTGTCTACAACCAGTCTCCACATCCCGTGGTGGTTGTCATGGATGCAGGTATAGATAATTGTCTATGACCTGTCTCCACATCCCGTGGTGGTTGTCATGGATGCAGGTATAGATAATTGTCTATGACCTGTCTCCACATCCTGTGGTGGTTGTCATGGATGCAGGTATAGATAATTGTCTAAAACCAGTCTCTACATCCCGTGGTGGTTGTCATGGATGCAGGTATAGATAATTGTCTATGACCTGTGTCCACATCCCGTGGTGGTTGTCATGGATGCAGGTATAGATAATTGTCTATGACCAGTCTCCACATCCCGTGGTGGTTGTCATGGATGCAGGTATAGATAATTGTCTAAAACCAGTCTCCACATCCCGTGGTGGTTGTCATGGATGCAGGTATAGATATTTGTCTACAACCAGTCTCCACATCCCGTGGTGGTTGTCATGGATGCAGGTATAGATAATTGTCTATGACCTGTCTCCACATCCCGTGGTGGTTGTCATGGATGCAGGTATAGATAATTGTCTATGACCTGTGTCCACATCCCGTGGTGGTTGTCATGGATGCAGGTGTAGGTAATTGTCTACGACCTGTCTCCACATCCCGTGGTGGTTGTCATGGATGCAGGTGTAGATAATTGTCTACGACCTGTCTCCACATCCCGTGGTGGTTGTCATGGATGCAGGTTGTCATGGATGCAGGTATAGATAATTGTCTACGACCTGTCTCCACATCCCGTGGTGGTTGTCATGGATGCAGGTTGTCATGGATGCAGGTGTAGATAATTGTCTACGACCTGTCTCCACATCCCGTGGTGGTTGTCATGGATGCAGGTGTAGATAATTGTCTACGACCTGTCTCCACATCCCGTGGTGGTTGTCATGGATGCAGGTGTAGATAATTGTCTATGACCTGTCTCCACATCCCGTGATGGTTGTCATGGATGCAGGTACAGATAATTGTCTATGACCTGTCTCCACATCCCGTGGTGGTTGTCATGGATGCAGGTGTAGATAATTGTCTATGACCTGTCTCCACATCCCGTGGTGGTTGTCATGGAAGCAGGTGTAGGTAATTGTCTACGACCTGTCTCCACATCCCGTGGTGGTTGTCATGGATGCAGGTGTAGATAATTGTCTACAACCAGTCTCCACATCCCGTGGTGGTTGTCATGGATGCAGGTGTTGATAATTGTCTATGACCTGTCTCCACATCCCGTGATGGTTGTCATGGATGCAGGTGTAGGTAATTGTCTATGACCTGTCTCCACATCCCGTGATGGTTGTCATGGATGCAGGTGTATTCCCACCAAGGCCACATTAAACAGGTTAAGTTACTGGAAGCCGGATAAGGATGGTTGCTTGTTTTTCTGTGTCACAGCACAATGATCTTGTCTGTATTACTATGTTGTCATGAACATGATGAACAGGTTAGTTGCAGGTGCCCCATGATCGATTTGACATCTCTTGGTGTATCAGTATTCATCCAACTGATGATTGCTGAGAAATTGTTTCTTCCTATTGATTATTTGGAAGCACTCTGATAAGTTATGACTGGTGTGACTGGATACAACTATCACTGAAGCTGTTCTGTAGACTAACATATTAATTGTCCCCAAAATGAAGTTATGTATGAGATAAATATACACTCTTCGGTACAAAGGTACAGTGGTCCCTCGCTACAACGCTACCAATGGGGTCCAAATAATTGGTGGGCGTTATAGACGATGAGCCGTTTAACTGAGGCTGAGGCGGGGGAGCGCGCTCGGCCTATCTCATGATCTTCGCCTTGTCTCGCACATTGCAATGATACAAGTTGTTTACCGTTCATAGTGTAAAAATATATATCCATTATGTTTTCGCCGTTTGTTATTACATGTATTTACAAGCCTTAACTGTCACATTCAATGTGAATGTAGTCTACTTACATGAAAATATCGATTGATAATGGTAGTAACAGACTCTATGAGTTAAGAGCCAATTACAATTCATTACACAAGTACAGAGTGTTTCAGTGGCATTGATTGGTCATGTTGCTTAAAATACGGAAAAAGAGAGTTTTGACCAGCACTACGTGCATTCATACACATTCATACAAATATAGATACACATCCAAGCCAGATTTATTGGTTTGATATGATTATTTGATCCGAATCAAAAGGAATGACTGCCGTGTTGTGACAGCAACTACATGTGAGTTGACAGTGTCGCCTCAAATTGGATTGCCCACTAATTAAGAATATAAAGTTCGCTTGTGGTTCTCTTTTATTGCATGCATGCGCTTCTAAGATCAAAGGATGTATAGTGTGAAAAGTTAACCTAGTAGAACAATCGTATTTCCGGGACTTGCCGCGGATGTTTTCAAACAGATTATTAGAACTCCATTCAGCGATAAACGGTTGATTATGCAATGAGAAGCATTATGTGCAAATGAACAACGAACAACAATACAATCACGGCTGTGTAAAACTCTCAGTATTAAAAGTGTACATTAATTTTGGGAGCCATGTGTTACCGCGCGTAGTAACCGAGGTAGCGCTTTATGGAAGAGCACAATAGCGAGGGATCACTGGACTCTGAAGTCTCTCTATTTCAGGAGCTGAAAAGTATAGGTTGCTAGGGTTGAAAAGGGTATAAAAATGGAGTGGAGATGATTATTTGGAAACTATTCTGCGCTAGGGTATGTGAGACTAGCTGTGCTGCTGGTGCTGTATCTCGTCTGGTGTTATTACCTTGCTTTGTGGTAAGGTGACCTCATGGGTACACATTGCGATCAGTCGAAAAAACTCAGGCAATTAGAGGGGCAATTCATTACTTTAATGCCTTGTTCTAAATACAAAATGTAAGTACCAATACAACAGGGATTAGATACTACCATTATTAAGATTTGGGTGTCCTGTTACCCATGTTAACAAAGTTATCGGAAGGCAAACAGCTGTGTCTTGAATGGTACAAAACCAACATCACCTGAGTTGTTCAATATCTTCTTCATGTTTCATACATTTAAGTGTCTCAGTTCCTTCCAAAGAGAACTGTGAAGATCCGGGTTAGAATAGGTCTTCAGCAACCCATACTTGCCGTAACAGGTGACTATGCTTGTCATAAGAGGCGACTAACGGGATCAGGTGGTCAGGCTTGCTGACTTGGTTGATGCGTGTAATCACATCCCAATTGCGTGGATCGATGCTCATGATGTCAATCCCTGGACTGTCTGGTTCAGACTCGAATATTTACAGACCGCTGTCATATAGCTGGAATATTGCTGAGTGCGGCGTTAAACAACAAACAAACAAAAAATCCTTCCAAAGACTTCATTTCAGCGTTATTTCTTCTGGACCTTCAGTGCCAAGGTATGGTCAGGTAGCCCAGGGGTTAAGGTTCTGATCTTCAGAACTAAAGTCAAGGTGCAATTCCAAACATGGGCCTAAATTATAAGTCCATTTTCAGTGCTGCCTGTGTGATATGGCGGTAGTATTGTCGGGAGCAGCATATACCAGCACATACCAGCACTCAATAATCCTTAATAATTCAAGATCACTTTATGATCTTTGGTCTGTGACCTCTGCTCATGGGTCTCATGAAAGTGGCAACGTCACCTGTGGCACTTTGGATTATTAAATTTCTTTACACATCACACACATGTGAAATTAATGTTGATATCAGCGTTAGGCGCTGTTCAGTCACTCAAGTAATATATATTATGTTGTTGATTTAGTATTCTGTTTATTTGTTTTTTCAGCTTGCTAGGGGTGAACTCAAGCAGGTTGACTGGCATGACTACAAGCTTATAGCTGAGGAGCAGCAGCGGAAGGGTGGGTAACAAGTGTTTCACGTTCATCAACTGGTGTTTCACATTCACCAACTAGTGTTTCACATGCACATACTAGTGTTTCACATTCACCAACTAGTGTTTCACATTCACATACTAGTGTTTCACATTCACCAACTAGTGTTTCACATTCTCATACTAGTGTTTCACATTCACCAACTAGTGTTCCACATTCACATACTAGTGTGTCACATTCACCAACTAGTGTTTCACATTCACCAACTGGTGTTTCACATTCATCAACTGGTGTTTCACATTCACATACTAGTGTCACATTCACCAACTAGTGTGTCACATTCACCAACTAGTGTTTCACATTCATCAACTGGTGTTTCACATACACCAACTGGTGTTTCACATTCACCAACTAGTGTTTCACATTCACATACTAGTGTGTCACATTCACCAACTAGTGTTTCACATTCACCAACTGGTATTTCACATTCACCAACTGGTGTTTTACATTCACCAACTGGTGTTTCACATTCATCAACTGGTGTTTTACATTCAATAGCAGAATTGCTTAAACCATACCCACTTACTCACATTCACTAACCACATTGTTTCATATTCACAACCAGTATTTCACATTCAACAACAGTGTTTCACATTCAACAAACACAGTTATCTCATTCAACAGCAACTACAGTATAGTACTTGACTGTCAGATTAACAATGGTCTTTCACATTCACAACCAGTGCTTTCAACAACAGTTTAAAATTCAACAACAGTGTTCACATTCACCACATACAGTGTATCACATTCAACAGCAACAACAACAACAGTATATTACTTGACATTCAGATTAACAACAGTGTATTTCTTCATGTTCTTGACAGTCAGTTTAATAACCATGATAACAGTTTTTCACATTCTCCAACCATATTATTCATCAATCCCAATGTAACACTGCAATACTTGACACATATTGAACAATACTACAATTCAACAAGCACAGTTAAACAGTGTAGAACATGATAATAAGGCAGAACAACAGTGTTTTATCCTGAACAATTATAGCCTGGTTATAGTGTACCTGTGATATTTGAGAAACATGTTAGGCAACAATGTCTCTCATTCAGCTTTCTAATGTAGGAGTATTGAAGCAATAGGGGTTCTACCTACTTCAGCTGAGGATATATGTCACTGTGACCCAATACCTCTATTGGGTTTGAAATACCAGCTAGTAGCCAGTGGCTGGGTTAAATTCATAGCATGATAATGGCATGGATAAGATAGATTCCTTGTCCCTGAAGGGGAAATATATTTTAATATATAAATATATAAATATGATCATGGTTATTAATCTTTATTTTTTTAAAGAATATGTTTTGATGATGTATATTATCAATAATATGTCATATGAAGCCAATGTTTTTTTGTTTGTTGTTTAATGCGATAGTCAACAATAATCTAGCTATATGATGCCAGTGAAAAATGTTCTCTAGCAAAAGTAATCTGTTCAAAAATAATATTAATATACAAATATGCTTCATAAAATAACCTGTTGATTCAGAAATATTGAAGGATGGTACTGATCTTAATGAAAGAGAAGGAGACATACATTCGAGAAAACAGTAGTTTATTATCTGCAATGTGTTTCTTATGACATTCACAACTTATATGGATGAAAATATTCTTGCTGGCACACTATTGCTTAAATTCCAAAGTCCTCACCTGAATACCTTTGAGCGTACCCTGTGGCACACTTGTAGGACAATACAGTGCCATGTGGCACACTTGTAGGACAATACAGTGCCATGTGGCACACTTGTAGGACAATACAGTGCCATGTGGCACACTTGTAGGACAATAGAGTACCCTGTGGCACACTTGTAGGACAATACAGTGCAGTGTGGCACACTTGTAGGACAATACAGTGCCATGTGGCACACTTGTAGGACAATACAGTGCCATGTGGCACACTTGTAGGACAATACAGTGCCATGTGGCACACTTGTAGGACAATACAGTACCCTGTGGCACACTTGTAGGACAATACAGTGCAGTGTGGCACACTTGTAGGACAATACAGTGCCATGTGGCACACTTATAGGACAATACAGTGCCGTGTGGCACACTTGTATGACAATACAGTGCCATGTGGCACACTTGTAGGACAATACAGTGCCATGTGGCACACTTGTAGGACAATACAGTACCCTGTGGCACACTTGTAGGACAATACAGTGCCATGTGGCACACTTGTAGGACAATACAGTGCCATGTGGCACACTTGTAGGACAATACAGTGCCATGTGGCACACTTGTAGGACAATACAGTACCCTGTGGCACACTTGTAGGACAATACAGTGCCATGTGGCACACTTGTAGGACAATACAGTGCCATGTGGCACACTTGTAGGACAATACAGTGCCTTGTGGCACACTTGTAGGACAATACAGTGCCGTGTGGCACACTTGTAGGACAATACAGTGCCATGTGGCACACTTGTAGGACAATACAGTGCCCTACTGTCCCCTGTCATCAACACAACCAGAATAGGGTGTTGGAGATTAGGTATGACTGCCTTACTCTGGAACTGTGGGCGGCTCCAGGCTGGATGGAAGGCATGTAGGGTCTAGAGCTGTAACATTGCTGTATGTAGAACCCATTCCACCTGTCCAGTGTTGGTGGAGCTGAATCTCAAGCTGACAATCTTTCCATCATATGTATAAAAGCTGTAAAGATCTTAAAATTGGTGAAAAAACTGGAAAGATAATTTCAATGCTCTTAAAGATAATCCCTTTGACAAGTTGACATGATTTTATGGCAGTTTTTGTATTATGGATGGCTTTGAAGTAAGGAGCGAAATTAATCATGTTCATTCTTTTGTGAAAAAAGGAACTGCTCGATGTGTCATTTTGACAGTTATAATGACTTATGTGATTGCTCCATGTCAGCTGGTAAAGTGGTGGTGTCATGTTCTCAATTTCCACTTTATTACCTACGTTGAAAAACATAGAAAGCATACAACCTGTGAAGATACAGGTTAGAATTGGTCTTCAGCAACCAATGCTCGTCGTGAGAAGCAATTATACTTGTCGTAATAGGCGACTAACAGGGTCTGGTGGTCAGGCTCACTGGATGATGCATGCCATTGTATCCCAATTGTGTAGATGCTCATGATATCAATCACTGGATTGTCTGGTCCAGACTTGATTATTAAACAGACCTCCGTCATATAGCTGGAATATTGCTGAGTGCAGCACAAAACAACAAACAAACTAAAATCTAAAGTATGCATAGGTATTGCAGGGATTTATCTCGTCCAACACAGAGGCTGATATTCGGCTCCAAGTCTGCTTGAAATGTCAATAAAAACTCCCAAATTGGAATTAAAGTTTCTCATTTCATGTTAATATGTTTAGAACTAATGTCATGGCTATGTAGAGGTGACTTGTACTTCACTGGTAACATGACCAATTAACCAGGAACAGGAAGATGTTTTGATGCTTAGTTTCACATTATTGCAATGTTCAAATACCTCTGATTTTAGGGAAGTTGGAACTAAAAAAAATCCCAATTTTGAACAAGATTATGATATTTTCCAATTTGCCTACCAAAGGTCTTGACTGAGATTTTAGGCAGAGGGTTGTTTGGGAGGGTCATATGCCCGAACGCCAGCAGTCTGTTAATAATCGAGTCTTGACCAGGCAATCCAGTGATTCACATCATGAGCATCAATTCACGTAAATGGGATACGATGACATGCATCAACCAAGTCACCGAGCCTGACCACCTGATCCCGTTAGTTGCCTCTTATGACAAGCATAGATGCCTTTTACTGCAGGCATGGGTTGGTGAAGATCTATTCTACCCTGTATCTTCACGGTACTCATCGTACCCTGAAGACGTGGGACATTGTTCACTAATTTGTCTGACTGAAAATTTATTGTTTACCATGTTTACCATCCACCATCACATGGCTGGAATATTTCCACTTTAAACAATGAACTAAACACTCCATTGATTATTTATGAAGCCAAATTTTAAAGTTAATTTTCTCTGTCAGGCCCAGGGGAACAGGGTTCTGCAGTGATACTCTCAACCGAGGATGAACAGAAGAAGAATGACCTGTACAAAGTGAATGGATTTAACGCATACGCCAGTGACAAGATCTCCCTACAGAGGGCGCTGAAAGACATACGACATCCAGAGTAAGTGTGCATGTAGAATCTAGTTACCTCAAGTGTGGGTCAGCCATGAGGTGTTAAAAGTTTTCTCTGAATATTTTGTATGATTATTTGTAGATGTGAGTTCAGGACATGCAATGACTAGCATACCGTAGTACTGATGTAATAGGGTGATGGGGTAGCCCAGTGGTTAAAGTGTTCGCCCGTCATGATGAAGGCCTGGGTTTGATTCCTCATATGGTACAATGTATGACTCCATTGGCAGTAACCCCCACTGTGATATTATTGGAATGTTCAAACCCAACCCACCCACCCACTCACTCACTGATTTAATAGGTTATGGGTTACAGTATGCAGTGTTCAGATCGACGGAGGTCCTTGGTGCTTGAGCTCTTCTGTTGTATTTATATCTAGGGTATAGGGCTGGGACGAGCCCAAATTTACTACCTGGGTACGAGGCAACCTAGGTGGGGCTTTTAGGGTTGCTTACTTAATTTGGAGAACAAATTTTGAATTTTGAAATATGACTGTTTGTGTCACATGATGTATGCTATTTATACATGTATATGAGATTGCCTGGTGTAAATCTGTTGTCTTGACAGTCTTGACATCTGAGTGGTTACTCAATAGAACAATAGCTGCCTGTGCCCAGGTAGAGGACAGTTAATCTGTTTATACAGCTCCAACTGATAATTACCACTGATGCTGGACTGGAATTGCTTGACAAACCATCAACAGAAAAATATCATGAATGTCTTGAATTTGTATTTTGGACAATTTAATAACAAACAGCGATATCCAGCATATCATACTGAAAGACTGGAAGGCCTAAAATGTCACATGACCTAAGTATGTCACAATAGATTCCCTGTCAGAACCCATCAGCAATATGTTGATAAACATATCTTACACCACAAACAAATAACTGAGTAGACAGTGTAGCACCCTGTACCCTGGTTATACAAGCCTACACACAAGGTTTATCCTGTGTATAACAAACAGGGATGGGTATTGGAGGTTTAAAGTGTGTCACAATATTTTACGATGCACAAGGCCGTATTGCGATTCAAATCACAATATTGCATAATACTTAATTTTGAATTCAGAAGCAATTTGAAACAGCTTATTGCTGTTTCCAGCTTAGTTTACAAGAAAATACACATTGTAAACTTTTTTTTATCTCTTTATGTAAAATAATGCCTAGCAGAACAAGTATTACAATTTAATCAGTAAATCAACTTGTCCAGTGATGTTTTTTGTCAAATTTCAAAATTTGTTCTAAACCAAGTTTGTTGTCACCCATGCGTTGATACCTGAATTTGCTGAAGGGATACGATGTCATTTCTTTCTTCACATAATACTCGAAACACCTTTTTTTCCAAATACTGGATACTCTTTTAATAAATATGCATGGATGCACGCTCCATGTGTTTGGCAAGTGTATAATCATGATAATATTAAGCACTTGATAAAAATCGCATGTTGAAATACGATATACCGGGCATTAAAAAATAATAATGTGATACGTATTGTGTAACGAGTGAACCTCAATATGCTGATATACTGGTAATGCCGCGTACGCTTGATAACATGAGTACAAAATGTTCCTAAGATGTAATAATATTTCTGACTGAACAGCTGTCAAAGGAAGAAGTATGTGAACAAGTTGCCGACTGCTAGTGTCATCGTCCCCTTCCACAACGAGCACTGGTCCACGTTGTTACGGACCACATACAGCGTCATTGACCGGGCACCCAAACACCTCATCCATGAGGTCATCCTGGTGGATGATTTCAGTACTAAGGGTAGGTAACTTGTGGTAGTTTATCACTTATCACGTGATGAGTAGATAGTCAGATCAACCTAGATAAAAGAATATTCTTCAATTTGTTGGGTAAAAACAAAAAGTTTGTATTAATGCTATACATTAATATTCTGCTGGATCATTCTGGTAATTACTAATATAAACCATGTTAAAGGTGAACTGGGTTCAGGCCTTATGTGGATCAGTCTTGCAGAAAATGTATGTGTGTATTTTTATAAAGTACACAGTATAAAAAAATGACTCAAAATCAGCCATCTCCGACCACACCCAAACCCACCCTGACCACAACATCCAGTGGAACAACATCAAGATCCTGGCCAACAATCAATCAGACTACAAAATCATGAAACTCCTAGAAGCCATCTAAAGGATCCAGCAAGCAATGAACAGAGATCAAGGCTACTACATCCCGCCTGCTTACCATCACCTAATTGCTAAATCCCTATGTCCATCCAATTAATCCACTGGCTTCCAATCATCTCTATCAGCATGATCAGTCTGCTTGCTGACTCTGTGTCCATTAGTCATCCACTGGCTTCCAATTATCTTAATCAGCTCTCTGTGTCCATCAATCAATTTACTGTATAAACATTGATGTTAATAAGTATATATCTATGTTGTTTATCACTATCCATATTCCAAATCTCAAAATTCCCAAATTCTATATAAGCAACCCCTAAAGCCCCCTCTTGGGTTGCACACACCACTTTCGCCCCTTTCGGAAACACATTAAATGGCCTGGCCGGGCCCGTGTGCGAAATACGCATCAGTCGGAAAGCGCACGTTAAATCATCAAAGTAAGTAAGTAAGTAGGCACTATCCATCACTTGCTTGATAAAGGTGTTAGGATCTACACCGAAACGTCGCACTTATTGTAATAAAGAAGTTGTTCATCCATAGAACTTGTCTTACTTCATCACACCAACTTCTAAATGCCACTGAAAGAAGTTGTATTTCAAGGAGAATTTAGTAGGTAGCAACATGATGCACATCACAATAGTTTAGTTAGATTAAAAAGAAACGTATTTTTTCTCACTGTTTCAGAGTTTCTCAAGGAAAAACTAGAAAACTATGTGAAGGATAATTTTGACAATGTGAAGGTTGTCCGTGCGGAGAAGCGTGAGGGTTTGATCCGAGCTCGTCTGCTCGGGGCGAAGGCAGCAACTGGCGATGTCCTCATCTTCCTCGACTCCCACGTGGAGGCGAACATCAACTACCTCCCTCCACTACTGGGTGAGTGCATGCTGCACACAACCCAAGTGTCAATACTTCTTGACAGATCTGATAACCCATTTCTAATAGTACACCACCATGGTATAACTGATATAACACCACCATGATATAACTGATATAACACCACCATGGTGTTCCTGATATAACACCACCATGGTGTTCCTGATATAACACCACCATGGTATAACTGATACAACACCACCATGGTATAACTGATATAACACCACCATGGTATAACTGATACACCACCATGGTATAACTGATATAACACCACCATGGTATAACTGATATAACACCACCATGGTATAACTGATATACTGCCCTCCCTCCCTGCCTCACTCACTCACTCCTTGCTGAGGGTGTGCTTAGCAGTATCCCCTCACTCACTCTCTGGGATGATTGGTCCAGTGGTTAAAGCATTTGCTTATCACACCAAAGGCCTGGGTTCGATTTCTTTTGTCTGAAGCCCATTTTTTGTGTCCCTACCATGATATTGCTGGACGATTGCTAAAGTGGCATAAAATTATACTCACTCACTGCCTTTTTTCCGATCACAGAGCCGATAGCTCTCAACAAGAAGACAGTGGTATGTCCTTTCATCGACGTCATTGACTATGAGAACTTCGCCTACCGCGCCCAGGATGAGGGTGCACGGGGAGCGTTCGACTGGGAGTTCTTCTACAAGCGATTACCTCTCCTCCCTGAAGACAAGAAACATCCAGCTGATCCATTCAAGTATGTTGTATGATAGGGATAAGTTTCTATTGGTATGTTTCTATGTATATACATTTACCCCTGCGATATCAGCACCACTGGTGCAACTTTCTATGAACCATCTATTCCGTCAGTATGCAGACTTATGATACTACATGTATACATAAAGCCTTGTTTTGGTGCATGCTGTGGTCAGGCATGGTACATTCTGTGGTACGATGTGGTCATGTTACATTAAAGTATACATTTCCTTAGTTCCCTATGGCCAATACGTTATTGGTTGTGTGAATGTGGAACTGGGATAAAACAGGCTGAAATGTTTGCTCTGGAGAGCGGAAGGTCCGGGGTTAGATCCTCGGCCGCGTCATACCAAAAGACGTTAAAAGATGGTACTTGTTGTTGCCCTGTTGGGCACTCGGCATTAAGGGGCTAAAACATTGACTGGTCGGCTTGGTGTCAGTATACTGTGTCTGAGTGGGGTATTCAAGTTAAACTGTGGCATGGTATCTCAGTGGGCTAGCACTATAACATCGGCTTTAGTCTGGACGAGTACAGGCAGCCACACACGTGCATGCACGTTGCTATATAAGTGCAATAATCTTGGACGCTACGTTAAACACCATTCCACTTCACCACTATATGGTTATTGTCCACACTTGCTTATTTAGAGGTCACTTATAATGTTGCTTTCTTTTACATAAAACAATGTGCATGATGTCCCTCACTCACTTGTTCTCAACAGGAGTCCGGTGATGGCTGGTGGACTGTTTGCTATCGACCGGGAGTGGTTCTGGATGATGGGGGGTTACGACCCGGGACTCGACATCTGGGGTGGGGAACAGTACGAGCTTTCCTTCAAAGTGAGTGTCTGTCCTTGATTCACTTTGAACAGGGTGGTTTGTCAGCACCATTCTTGATGGCCTCTCTTGTGTCACTTTGGGCGTTTCTCCACATCAACCAGACACTCTGTGTTATAACTGATATAATGTTCAAATCATTGCTAAGCTGACAGTGATATGGACAGGGAGAAGAACATCTTTAGATGTTCTCTCTGTTCACTGTGGCTAGATATAGAACATTTTGTGCTCTTTAAGAGATGTCTTTTCAACTAACGAATCGCAGTGTGTTGCTGTTCTTGCTGTGGTGTATGCAAATGAGCTTATCCGATATTTGTCAACAAAGGGATTGCAATTTGCTGTGCAGAGTTGTGTCCCTTAGGCATGCCAAAGAGGAACATTACCTGAAGCTTTTTTAACTAAAAATCCTTCAAAAGTTCCTAGTTAGTGCAGTTGTTGTTAGTTATCAACATAGGTCTTCAGCAACCCATGCCTGCCGTAAGAGGCGACCATGCGTGTCATAAGAGGCGACTAACGGGTTCGGGTGGTCAGGCTCATTGACTGGGTTGATGCTTGTCATCGTATCCCTAGTGCGTAGATCGATGCTCATGATGTAAATCACTGGATTGTCTGGCCCAGACTTGAATATTTACAGATCGTCATATTTGCAAGCAACCAAACAAACAAAAGTTATCAACAGATTTTGACCTGACTTATGATTGGAGTTGCATCACACAATGTGACCATACTTGTAGCTGCTTTTACGAACTGTGTGAACTGACCACTATATTTGTTACAGATCTGGCAGTGTGGAGGTGAAATGGTGGATGCCCCCTGTTCCAGGATTGGACATATCTACCGCAAGTTTGCTCCATTCCCTAATCCTGGAGTGGGTGACTTCATAGGCAGAGTAAGTAGACAAAGCTCTCAAACACATTCTGTAGGTGATGCACATTCTGCAGGTGATGCACATTCTGTAGGTAATGCACATTCTGTAGGTTATGCACATTCTGTAGGTGATGCACATTCTGTAGGTAATGCACATTCTGTAGGTGATGCACATTCTGTAGGTAATGCACATTCTGTAGGAGATGCACGGTTTTTAAAGACTTGTACACTACACTTTACCTTACTCCAACCAAGATTTGAAACGTACGTCACCTCCCCCTATGAACGGTAATTGTAGTTGATTTTCATCAGGGCTAGTCAACTATCTGACTACCAGCCCTTGTTGCTTGTGAAGCCTTGTGTATCTGTAAGGAGGTGTGGGTATAGTGGGGTAGCCTAGTCAGTGTGTCTTTACGCAAAGACCTGTGTTCTGTCCCCCACATTGGTACAATGTGTGAAGCCAATTTCTACTGTCCCCTGCTGTGATATTGCTGGAATTGTGAAAAGAGCTAAAAATTAGCATAAAATTCTGCTCTTTCACCCACTCTAAGGCTGTATGGATCAAACACTGTTTCAACAGGATAGGCAAATATCTTTCAAGATTTAAGCTTACTTCTTTGAGATCATCGTGTCAAATCCCCGGCAACATATGCTGGTCATTTGAGGCACTTTAATGGATCGGGCACATACTTGTATGTTTACTGGCTGACATCATATGGCAGGAATATTACTAATTGCAGTGTTAAACAACAAGAATAAACTTATATTTGTGCTCTGACAATGTAGAACTACCGCCGTGTTGCCGAGGTGTGGATGGACGAGTATGCAGAGTTCCTGTACAAGCGCCGCCCCCACTACCGCAATGTCGACACCGGGGACATCAGCGAGCAGAAGGCCATCCGCAACAAGCTCAAGTGTAAACCATTCAAGTGGTTCATGGAGGAAGTTGCATTCGACCTGGTCAAAGTGTACCCACCAGTTGAACCAGAGCCAATGGCGGATGGAGAGGTAGGGGGAACTATATTTTGACACAAGTAATACCATTCAGGATAATATATCTACTCAGCGTCATTATTGATGGGTCACCTTGGTATGTAGAGTCTCCAACATGATCATGTGCCAACAAGTGTCAACAGGTCTGAGTCTGTTCACAATGTCACACTGACTGGATGCTTTATGAAACTTGACAAATGGACAATGGCTATAAAAAAACAATGAAAAGTGCTGGATTGAATGTGATGGAAAAAGCTACCCAAAACACACGCCTGAACGCAACCAGTGGTTTAGCCATGTTAGCCCATGCAGTGCAATGCATGACAAGTAACAGTCAATGTGGGTATAAAATGGTTCATTCCAGATGCAACTGAACTGCACTCTCGGAAGTAGAATGAATATTTTTCTTATTATCTGCGTGACTCCTCAATAATGATGTTGAGTAGGTATCGTGTAGATCCTGTAGGCTACCACTTGTGAGGATAAGTCATTTTAGTTCTTTTATTAAAGCTTCATTTAATTCTCTACTTTCTTTGGTTTGTCCTGGTTAATCATCCGGTTTTTAGTCAGTGCATGGACAAGCACGTGGATGTAAGCAGAATATGACATGAACTTGTGTAGGGTGTAAAGGGCCAATAAAATTTTTAAGTATTAACAAAATATATAAGGAACAACATGTAAATCATAACTAACGATGCTATAACAAATGTAAATGGTATAAAAGGGTAAATTGCATGTTGAAAAGGTTGAAGTGTGTATCACAGATGTTTCGTTTAAAATCCGGAAAATAATGTTGGTAATAACATGTACTTACTACCTTAGTTACAAGTTGTAATAATTCCCATTTGTGTTTATTATAGCTTGTACCTGTCAACAATAGGCCTTACAATTAAAGGGCCAGTAAAAGAATTTGAAGGAAAGACATAATACAAAAATATCAGTCAATATTTCAAAACTGAACCAAGAATGTATTTATCAATCTATGCTGAAGTTATAAAATAAACCATTCAAGACAGTGTACTGGATTATGTGTCAATGGCCAAAGCGTATCACCTACAGATCCTCCCCCTTTTTTCTATTGACTTCAATGAAATTATGTTTTAGCACTAAAGGTGAGGAGGCAAAGGAGCCCCAGCTAGTTGTCCTCGTGCAACTTCTTGTGCAGAGTTGCCTCCCTTTGAATTCAAATCCCAGACTGTGATCCATAGTTATCCACTCATTACTTATAACCAATGTCTCTTTGGATGCCTCCAAAATAGCACAGTAAAAGTTGTATAAATGAAATGGTATTCAAAGTAGAGTTACACCCAACCTGAATCTGGTAAAGTTTGATGATCCAGTTTGATTTTTTCTTGCAATCTTCTGTAATCTTCAGTACAATGACACTAAGTCTTGTTATCACAAATCAAGCTACCAAGAGTTATCCCCCTTTCTGTACACAAAACCTGATATGTTTACTTATTTTCTGGATAAGGTTTCATGTAACTAATGTGTGTATTTTCACCTTGGAATTACAAGAGTCAAAATTACTGAAGTAGACATGAACAGTGTGTATAATGTGAATATATGTTTGAGGTTGTGGGGTGTCACCCGAAATCAAGCTGTAATGTTGTTATGTAAGCTATTTTGAAAGCAGCATTAATTGAATCTAGTCACGTTTGATTTCATCTCAGTGCTTTCAATCTTCCTTCTACAACAACGTCGTTATATAAGTGCAATAATCTTTGACGCGACGTTAAACCCCATTTCACCTCACGCCTCCTTCTACAACAGTACAAAGACACAATTCCTGTAGTTTTGAATCAAACCACCAAGAGTTATCCCCCTTTCTTTGCCCTGAACATTTACTGTCCAATTACTAATGATATAGATGAAAAGGCCTTAACAGGAATATAATATGAATATAAATTTGACATTGTGGTTTGGTCAATATGGATCTGATAGTTATCGGTGTCAGCAATATTGTTGGTAATATGGTATTTAGTATACTGAACAAGGAAAGTTCGGGATCATGATTTTTTAAATCTTTCTTTGCAAATGTGTGCTCAATATTCCTGATCCCCTTTTTTGTTGAGTATATATTTTAGCTTGATAACATTTTTATCCTATTACCCTCAATTTCATTTACAAAATTATCCAAGTATTGTGTTCTGAGAATAATGAATTTTCATCTGATAAACATTTGTTGCATTTAAGTTAAGGAATAAAGTTTGTACTTCGTTTTTTAAAAGTAATATTGTTTTTATCTGATATTCAACTGCTGTGTTTCAGTTGAGGAACAAGGCCAGTAACTTGTGTGTGGACACTCGCTTCAAGGGAGCCAATGAGAGGTTTAACCTGGAGCCGTGTATCAAGGATGGAGGCGGGGCTAATGGAGAGCAGGTAGTTTGTGTTTCGCATGTTGGTCCGTCACCTGTACAAGCGGTCAGTGTCCTCCGTTTCCTCTTTGTCGATGACCGCCTCCTTTGTCTAGTGGAAGAGCGTCTGGCTGGAGAGCAGAAGGTTTGGGGTTTGATCCCCAGCCGCGCCATACCAAAACACGTTTAAAGATGGTACTTGTTGATACCCTGACTGGCGCTTGGCATCAGGGGGTTGAAACAAGGACTGGTCGGCTTGGAGTCTGTATAGTGTGACCTCTGACTCTGGGATATATAAATAATACCACATTATCAGAATGGAATGTCCACAGTGGAAGTCCAGTGTTAAAGGGAAGTAGGATGACCCAAGGGCTGTCACATGGCTGACCTGACATCGCATCCTACTCCTGACTTCCTGGATTGATGCTGTCATGATTTGCCGATGGTTTGCCTGGTCCAGACTTGATCTGGCATATCCTTGTACTCCTGACATTCCTGGATTGATGACCAAATTAATTGTTCTTATTTTCATATGTCAACGATTTGACATTATGTGTGTTTAATGTGTTTATACTTTCAAGTACTTTCCTTTACAATTTTGGGATGTAATGAACTGTTTGTTTTCAGACGTTTGAGTTCTCTTGGCATAAAGACATCCGTCCAAAGAAGAGAACAGTCTGCTTTGATGTGTCGCAGTCTATGAAGAAAGCTCCTATAATCCTTTTTAACTGTCACAACATGTTAGGCAACCAGCGCTTCAAATACAAAGTAGTAAGTTGTCTTACTATCCCTGGAGCCTTGTCAATGTTTATATTGGTCAAGTATTCTGAGTATGTGCTTGCTGTGTCAGCAATTCTTTTGCAGTCTTCAGTGATCCATGCTTGCCGCAAAAGTTGACTATGTTCGTCGTAAGAGGCGGCTAACGGGATCATGTGGTCAGGTTAGCTGTCTTGGTTGATGCATGTTATCGTATCCCAATTGTATGGATCTATGCTCATGATGTCAATCACTGGATTGACTGGTCCAGACTCAATTATTTACAGACCGCCGTCATATAGCTTGAATATTGCTGAGTGTGGCGTTAAACAACAAACAAACAGACAAACAGACAAACAGACAAACTTTAACAATAATGAATGATCTGTTTGTATAGTATTTATTGTGTCCACAATTGTGTTATGAATTTAATACTTAATTTAATACATCTCCCCACGTTGAGTTATGTCAAGTTATCGTGAATACATCACCCCACGTTGAGTTATGTCAAGTTATCATGAATACATCACCCCATGTAGAGTTATGTCAAGTTATCATGAATACATTGGTCCATGTAGAGTTATGTCAAGTTATCATGAATACATCACCCCATGTAGAGTTATGTCAAGTTATCATGAATACATCACCCCATGTAGAGTTATGTCAAGTTATCATGAATACATCACCCCACGTTGAGTTATGTCAAGTTATCATGAATACATCACCCGAAGTTGAGTTATGTCAAGTTATCATGAATACATCACCCCATGTAGAGTTATGTCAAGTTATCATGAATACATTGGCCCATGTAGAGTTATGTCAAGTTATCATGAATACATCACCCCACATTGAGTTATGTCAAGTTATCATGAATACATTGGTCCATGTAGAGTTATGACAAGTTATCATGAATACATCACCCCACGTTGAGTTATGTCAAGTTATCATGAATACATCACCCCATGTAGAGTTATGTCAAGTTATCATGAATACATTGGCCCATGTAGAGTTATGTCAAGTTATCATGAATACATCACCCCACGTTGAGTTATGTCAAGTTATCATGAATACATCACCCCATGTAGAGTTATGTCAAGTTATCATGAATACATCACCCCATGTAGAGTTATGTCAAGTTATCATGAATACATTGGTCCATGTAGAGTTATGACAAGTTATCATGAATACATCGCCCCATGTTGAGTTATGTCAAGTTATCATGAATACATCACCCCACGTTGAGTTATGGCAAGTTATCATGAATACATTGGTCCATGTAGAGTTATGACAAGTTATCATGAATACATCACCCCATGTTGAGTTATGTCAAGTTATCATGAATACATCACCCCACGTTGAGTTATGTCAAGTTATCATGAATACATCACCCCATGTAGAGTTATGTCAAGTTATCATGAATACATTGGCCCATGTAGAGTTATGTCAAGTTATCATGAATACATCGCCCCATGTAGAGTTATGTCAAGTTATCGTGAATACATCGCCCCATGTAGAGTTATGTCAAGTTATCATGAATACATCACCCCATGTTGAGTTATGTCAAGTTATCATGAATACATTGGCCCATGTAGAGCTCTCAATGAGTCTATACAATGCTATGTTTCAGGGCACGTCTCAGATCTACCATCCTGTGAGCGGACAGTGTCTGGACGGCGACCCTGCCAGCCACGAGATGTTTATGAACCCGTGTGACGAGTCAAGCGATACACAAAAATGGCAATGGGAAAAAATGAATACAACAATAGTTTTAAAAGATTGGGATATTCCTTTAGATTAATGAAATTATAAACTTATTAAGTTTAAGAAATGAATTAATTCGCTCAAGCAATATGTTTTGTTTGTTGATTATATTATGGTAGGCTGACTGTGGTGTTTGGATGAAGGCAGTGTGTGGGGTGTGAGGTCACATGTTTACTCTCACAATTTCAAGGTTGCTATTATGTTGATCAGGTACTATTGACGTGAATGTACAGCTCTCAAATGTTGTTGTAGTGCAAATTAAAACCACCCCCCATTTAAGTGTTCATCAGTTCAGTGTTTACATAGCTGTCATCAAACAGTGGCTATAATTTCACAGATATTTTACGTGGGATCAACTTTAACGTTTTGGGTGTATGACATGTGAAATAGCATGTCACGTATGTATAAGTATTGATGAAGCTCATGTAAGGACATGGATGAAGTGCTGTGTCAGACAGTCTCAGTGGACGAAAGTCCCAACAACATAGAAACAACAGCTATAGAGCAAGGTACCGATTTCTTAGGCTAAACTTGGAAAGGTTTCTCGGGCATTGACTTGTCTCTTTAATTACGGCGTGTCGGTCTTTTCTTTTGGCAAAAGAAAGTGTATTTTTCATATTTCAAACTTCTGTTCCTTGGTCTCTTTAAATACTGGAAGTATTGGCAATATATATGATTTACAAATTTGCTGCGTCAAATGAAGCAAACAGTCTCATATATACTTGACGTTTGCAACTGACCTGGTATTAAAGAGGTCAGTGTGTGCCCAATTTTTTTTGTATTTGTTAGTATTCCTTGTGGGGAAAGAAAAAATGTTCTTCAACAATAAATAATAAACTGAAGTCCTACCTTCCCCTCACCTAGGAGAAAAATGTGCTGGAGAAATGTTTGTATTTTCTTATGCAGGCTTACCACAGGGCTATAAACATATCTCATTACACTGGGAGTTCGTTGGGAAGCGGATTAATCCATTTCAAGAAATATTTTGCCATTCCTCCTTGATGGGAGCAATCTCATTAAAATCAGATCATACTTCTTGCTACCGCTAAACAAAGATCTGAGGACATCCCATTACAGGTCACGTCAGACCGACCTTTCGCGAACTTTGACCAGCCAATGGAATGACTGATAAGAAGTCAAAATTAGCCAATCAGAAGGCAGCTTTCACACTAGTTTCAAACAGGAGACTACGCTTCGAAACATATTTTACCATCTTCTCGGTTAAAAAATCTAAAACTGAACAAAAAATCATTCTGGAATAACTAATAGATGGCCCAGATTGTATGGATACAGTCATAAAACCCGTAACTGGCATTTGGAATACCACGTGTTAGATTTTTTGAGGTTGCATGATTAGAAAACACATCCTTACTGTCACTTTCCTGATTTGGTAAGTGACGCTCTGATTGATCGGATGAAAGGTCTTTTGACGTGACCCGCAATGGGATGTCCTCGTATCTTTGTTTCACGGTAGCGGAACTAAGATCTGATGTTAATGAAATTGTCATGGGAGATGTTAGAAAGTTGAATAAATGGAACCACTCAAGATTTATCAGCACGTAATCAGGACGTTTTTTTATGTTTTGTAGACCCTGATGCTTTGTTGACTGTTTTGTGCTGCATTTGTGTTGGTGACAGTTGATGATGTTTTGTTAGAAGTTACATGTTGTTCCTGAAGTAGAAATGAGTTGGAAATATTTGTTATGGTTTTCCCACAATATTACCCCGATGTATTTTTACACACAATAACATGATCAATGCAAATCCTGTTATGCTGGACAAAGTTTCCGATTGCTGATGATTTGATGAACCTAAAATGATTAGTTCATTGTTGGTTATTTCAAGGATTCCAAGTAATTAGTGTATTATTTCTCTTGACAAGACAGTAGGATAAGAGGCATGACATGATATTGGGCTCAAAGCCGACATTCATCCTGATTATGATCATTGGTTTGTTGGCACCATACCGGTACCGTCTCTTCTGGGTTTCCCCAAAGTGGTAAATGTCCAAAACATGTGTGTCTTTTTCCCCACATGCTGTGATATAACTGAAATACTGTTCACAGTGCCATGAAGCACAACTCACTCACTCACTTGGGCAGGTTCTGTCACCTTCAGCAGCTGTGACATGTACTATGCAAGTTGTAGTCACTGAATGCTTGTGGAATGTAGACAGAATAAGCGGAGCTTGACCAGGGGGATGTTTCCTTGACAGCCAATCGTGAAACCCAGTCATGTGATCAAGTTTATGGAAGCCATGACCTTGACTGCTACATTTCATTTTCAGTCAGGTGATCATAAAATTCTGTCATGTGACCAAGTTTCTGGCAGCCATGACCTTGACTGTAGTGTCAAATCAAAATTGTATTTAAATACAAAAAGCTGTCCAATCTACCTTATTTGAAGCATATACAAATTGTATGTGATAGTGTTAGGTCTTGTTTAGGATTCCGTGCACTGAAGGACATCTGGTCACAAACATTGCACATTTAAGGCTAAAAAAAATAAGAGTCTTGGTTCTCAGGCACCACATGCACCATCAGAAAGTCTGCCGCAACTTTCGCTCTTATTTCCATTTTAAATTTAAATATAACTTTTGGACTTGGAATATTTAAGGATTTTTTTATTTTAAAAAAAAAATGGAAAAAACCCGAAACATGCAGTGAACTTTATGATGATGCCGGTGGTGCCTGAGAACCAAGACTATTATATTTTTTTTAGCCTTAAAAACAATGCGATTAAATATAGAACACAGTTACTTCCCTTTCCATGCGCACAGCTTTACTGCTCATCTTGTGTTATGGTCAAGGCGGAAATGCCCTGTGAACTGCTAGTAGTCAGTTATGGGGGGTCTGGAAATGCTCTGTTCTCATGGATGTGTGAAACCCTGTAGGAAGCAGGATGTCCTTGTACATGTATAAGGAAGGTGTATGTGATGTACAAATGTCAAAATGTCCCTTGTTTAAATTATGATAATTTTACAACTGTGATGTTGAAGTAACCATGACAACATTCTTTGTATAATTCTGCATTTACCATATGTGATATATTATATTTGTGCATCATGTCAATTTACAAAATATCTTGCAACCACATCTGGCATAAAACATTGCCCCATTGTTCAAATATGCATGTTTAAGCTAAAATAAATAATAGTCATGGTTCTGAGGCACCGCCCGCATCATCATAACGTTTGCCGCACGTTTTGTTTTCATATCCATTTTCAAGAAAAAAAAAAAAAAATCCTAATGCATGAAAACTTCCCTCAGATGTGCACTGCTTTACTGCGCAATGGGAGTTTGTATGCTGTTTTTTTTAAGGGAGGCCCTTTTCATGGTTGATTGTACACAACTGTTTTTTTGGTTACGTACTAGTTTGAACAAGCCAAAAAAAAGAAAGTAAAACACCATCTACTGGCACTATATTTTCAAAAGTCATTGCCTGAGAACCAATTCTTTTATGTTTTTAAGCCTACGGTAGAATTCATCACATTTATGTTAGAAGATTTATCAAGATAAATGTGGTGTATCTACAAAAATGCTGATGCGGCACAGGTATCTTCTGCTCAATCATTCAAATAAAAACGTCCAAGCCATTTCCATAATTTGAAGAAATCTTTGCTAAAAGCAACACCAGCTTGGTACCGACAAACTCGGATGGGAATGAACCAATCAGATAATCTAAGGACACTTCCTGACTATCTCATTGGACAGCTGCAGGTTAACATTTGCATATCAAATAGCCAAGTGTTTGTTTCTATTAGCTATTTATGTAAATTATGTAGTTTTGATAACAGCTTACATTATTAGGAGGGGTATAGCAGGTTTCATCATTGAAGTTTTTGTCATGACAGGCACAGATGAAATATTTATAAAAGTGAAGTATATTAGTGAATATGATGTTAAGGACTATTGTTGAAACATGACCGTGGTTTTGGTAATTGATGTAATTTTATGAAGTGCATTAACCTTTACCAGGTGTTCTTGTTGTAACTGTAATGTTAAAATGTTAAGATTTAGGGGTCCCTAGATTCAGGTACCATTGGAGAAGACCCCGAGGACCCCAGCACCCCTCCCCCCCCACCCCCCCCCCCCAAAAAAAAATCCAAAACAAAACAAAATAAAAACCAACCCCAAATTGAATTGGACCAGAGCACCTTTTCTTGTTGTACGAGGTGACTTAATCGATCCAACTAGGCGGATTGTATGTCATCCTGTTTTTAATGTATTATTGTAAACAATATCAGTCACTGGATTGTCTGGCCCAGATTTGATTATTTACAGGTTGCTATCATATGGCTGGAATATTGCTGAGTGCTCCATTCAACAACAAACAAATGTTATAGGGATACAATTGAACTTGAACTGTTGTATATGATTCATGAAGTTTCATGCGACATTGTTGTAGCAGCTTAAAACATTGGCATACACTTGAACTGTGTGTGTAGCGGGGGACAGTGGCATACAGTCTAGATGTTGTAGGGGTAGCTGCATGCTTACTGTTGTCTTTGGGGCCAACGTTGAGTTGCTGATTCTCTACCTGTGTTGATGTAGATAAAATGTTACGATATTTTTGTACAATGTCTCAATGTGTTTGTGGGCTGTATATATTTATTGTTTCAATGGTTGACATGTATCTCATTAACGCATCAACCCAGTACAACCCACGAACAAATACTGCTGGTAAAATCTTTCTGGGATTTGATTTAATTACCGGGTATACAAAACATTCAAAGATATTGTGTGTGGTTGTTACAGAAGATATGAAATGCTGAATGTGTACTTTATGTTTAGGAATTTATAATTGAGAGAGGTACCGTATTCGATGTAATGAGCACCCCGCTCTAATAAGTACCCCGCTCTAATAAGCGCCCACGGGGATATTTGCTAATATATTGGCCTGGGAACAATCCCATTTAGCACCCTTTCCGATTGATCAATGTACACAAGACTTATTTATTCGCACTCATGTGTTATATGCATTCTTAATTATGGGCAATTAAATTCTGGAAAAATATATCTGTCGCATATAATCATTTCAGTCTGTCAGCATAAGCCACGAAATTTATCTTTCAACTCTGTTTTTTCACCAAAATAATATTCTAATAAGAGCCCCATATTTCTAATTTTGATAGCACCCCGGGCGCTTATTACGTTGAATACGGTATATATTTGCTGAATACAGCAACAAGTATACAGGGTGAACTACATGGTTGTTTATGCTACTCTACTTTGGTAAGGATGCTGAGATATTTACAGACAGGAGCAATCAGTTGACTGTGTCATTGGGTTACAAGATCCCTATGAGAAATTGAGTAGTATTGAATGGAATAAGTCTGGTAGTCTAAGATGTGTGGCACACTTTTGCGCTACCTGTTTGTACCACTTGATGTGTGATTGCATGTATACAGGTATGGACGGGAACTGGCGTTACTGGGACGTTATATACAGGTATGGATGGGAACAGGCGTTACTGGGACGTTATATACAGGTATGGACGGGAACAGGCGTTACTGGGATGTTATATACAGGTATGGACGGGAACAGGCGTTACTGGGATGTATCTGTATTTGTGGCTTCAATACATGATTTGTTTATCTCCGATACAAGCAAAATGAAATGATATGTTGATTTTGTACAACGGGACACATCAAGGCTGCTATTATGAGAGATGTTCTGACAATGCTCTATTGACTAGACCACAGAGGCGTCAGGTTCTGTAGGATAACAAGATGTTGTTACCAGTGGGGCACATTTCCGTGGCAAGTTGCTTTTTATGGTTGCATCTTTTGGTTGTGGCAGAATCCAATGGTGGGTCGAGTCCCAGATTGGCTGTGGTCATGGTGCTAGGCTTGTCAGCACCATCCTTGTGGGTTTCACCTCTGTGGCATCGCATCAATCAGCTTCACTTCACATTTACCTCCCACATTAAACTGACATAACTGAGGTACTGTTCAAAGGGCAATAATCCCATCTCAAGATCTCACTTTGTTGCAGTCATACTTCAGTCTTGTTCCTTATGGAAAGAAGTCACATCCAAACATTGTAGCAGTTTTATTTAGGTTTGAAATAAATTAATTTCAGTGCCATGATATAAGTAGTGCTGTAATGGCCTGTCTTGAGCTTATATTTGCATTTTGTCCTTCAGCAACACTCAGAAGCACTCCTGACACAAATTGTTATTACCAATTGCTGTAACAATCATTCTGGACCAACAGAGATTGACAAATTGGCAACTTTTTGCTATGTAATTACTCCTCTCTTTGACAAAAACCTACAAGCATGGTAGCAGCCACAAATCTCAAAACTGCTGCTCTTTGAAAAGCCTTCCTTTTCATGTGACAACCACAATTACCGTATTCGACGTAATAAGCACCTAGGGCGCTCCCAAAATTAGGAATAGGGGGCTCTTATTAGTAAATAAAAATAAAAACAGAGTTGAAGGATCGTAAATTTCGTGGTTTATGCTGACAGCCTAAAATGTGACAAAAGAAAAGACTGAGCGTATTATACACGACAGATATATTTTCCAGAAGTTAATTGCCCATAATTAAGGGTGCATATAACACATGAGTGCATATTATACACAAATAAATAAGTGTACTTTGATCAATCGAAAGGGGTGCTAGTTGGAATTGTTCACTAGCCAATATATCAGCAAATATTGCCACAGGCACTTCTTAGAGCGGGGCGCTTATTACATCGAATACGGTTTAAGTTAAGTTTAAAGTTTAATGTAGGGCAACAAAGGTTGATAATCCCACACTCATGGACAGAGACTTAGGATTTGGTAACTACAAAGACCAACCATTCTTGTCACAAAGCAGGGGAGGTCTGGTAGCCTAGAGGTTAAAGCTGAAGACCCGGGTTTGAATCCCGACATGGGTACAATGTGTAAAGCCCATTTCTGGTGTCCTCCGCCGTTATATGTCTGGAATATTGCTAAAAGCGGCATAAAACCGTACTCTCTCACTCACTCTCTCACTTTAACAAAGCCTTACGATTGTCAGAACTATCACTCTTTGAGCTGTTTGGTACAGAACTGTGGTGGGGCAAGACAGTGTATAATAACTTCACTCTCCGACAGAGATTTGATATTGTCATATTTCTATGATTATTGTGTGGAATTGGGCCTGGCTAATTTACGGAGGACATTGACCTGATTGTTGCAGACAGGCACCGAGCAGTACCTGTTTATTAAATACCGATTCCAGATTTGCACACAGATGAGTTTCGATGCACCCTCTTCATGGTTTACCATTGTATAAAGGACATGTACAAGTTGATGAATACAACCTCAGAACGAAGACCAGACCACTGAGCAAGATGTGTTGTGTAACAGTCCATTTGTTGATGAGAATTACTGTCAATCTTGAAATTAATTTCCATTTTACAGTATTTATAACATTTTCATGAAAAGCTGAAATATTAGATGTGACATTAGACAGTGTGGACTCCACTTAAGGCAAACATACTATTTGTTTGTGGTTCACAAGGTGCTGTGTTATGTACATGCAGCATGCTGGGTGCTGTGAGTGTCTTGCTATATGACATGCTGAGGTAGTATCTTTACGGTGGCTGTCACTGGTTGTTTGAAGATATGTACAACTTGATTGATAGTCGTCTAAGGTTGAGAATGTTATTTTGATTCAATGTATCGATATTAGATGTTGACTACTAGATGTTGTTGTTTAACGTTTATATTCTGTTATTGGTCCAAGCTTAAATGCACCTATATATCATTACTTCAGTGTACGGTTGTCGCAGTCAGCATTCATCAAATTGAATTATTTGTAATTAAGTTGTACATCTGAAGGGCTATTTTCTTTAGAATTTTGTCACAAGCAAAATTGATATCTTTCCTGCAAAGTCAAAACTGAATATATTTGTTAATCATATTGAAAAAAATAATCATTATTATTCCTTCATAGTATTTGGTAACAATCAGTGACAGATTTAATGGAAGGCATGGGCACTGGTTGCCTACTCTGTGAAGGTACTGTAATTTGTTGTGCTGAGTTGCTTCCCTTCTCTTAGCCAGGATTTACCGATGATTGCAGATTCACCATGATTATTATTATTGTTTTGTTTCCATCCTATCCTTGCCTGTGGCTTTCCCGAAAGTGGCAAACACCAAGATCTGCATCACTTTGGGGCTTTCGTCCCACATTTGGTTGACACATAGTGATATAACTGAAATATTGTTCAAAGCGACGTTATGCCAAACCTGCTTGCAAAGAGAAGGTAAAGTCGTATTGTGATTACAATTGTGCAGCTGTTTTCCAACGCCTCACAGGTTGATGTAT